GGTCTGTAAGTCTAATCGTCACAGAGTCCAAATACTGGAAATTAGCTTCGCTTTTTTTTCCTTTCTTTCTTTCTTTCTTTCTTTCTTTTTTTCTTTCTTTCTTTCTTTCTTGTTTGTTTTTTGTTTTTTAAGACAGAGTCTCAGGCAGGAGAGATGGCTCAGCGGTTAAGAGCACTGGCTGCTCTTCTAGAGGACCCTGCTTTCCTGTAAATTCCAGTCCAGCCTGGTCTACATAGTGAGCTCTAGGACAGCCAAGTATACACAAGGAAATCCTGGAGTAAGGGGTGGAGAAGGGACGAGATGCATTCAGACTGAATCAGATTGCTTGCACAAAGTAGCATCTGTTGCTCTATAAGGAAGGATAAACAGGCAGAGTGCTTCATGCCTGTAATCCCAGTGTTCTAGAGGCAGAAGTAAAAGAATCATGAATTAAAAGGCCAGCAAACACCTGGGCTACAGTGTGAGACCCTGTTACAAAAAAACAAGAGAGAAAAACAACTGCGCATAGTCTGAAATCTGAGGGCTTTACTGTCTTCACAGGCTCCATAAACCTTTCTCCTCTAACTTGCTATGGCATGCTTCTCAAAAATCTAGTCATTGGGGCTGGAAAGATGGCTCAGCTAAATGAAGAGCACTTGCAGCTTGCAATTCCAGAGGTTGAGATTTGATTCCCAGCATCCAAATAGTGACTCCCAACTAGGGGGATCTGATGCCCTCTTCTGGCCTCCATGGGCACCACCAATGCATATTGTGCACAGACATTCAGCAAAATGTCCATATATATAAAAGGCTTTGGGTTTATTATTTAAATCAATTGACTGTAGAATGATGGGTCTCTTTCTGGATTTCTGTGTCTATACACACTATCACACTGTCTTCACTACTAAAACATTAGATTAAGCCTTGAATGAAGTATAAAAACAATAGTGAACATTATGCTTTTTTCTAATTTTTAGGTCTTTGTTAGTGTCCTTCACCATTTTTATAGTTTCGGTCATACACATATATCTTTTATTAATCTTATCTCTAGGCACCTGTAGTATCTACGGTGTTTTAATATAAGGTTTTCATTCTTCAGTCGTTCACTGTGATGTTCGTGACTTTCCTGTATTCACTGTGTGTAGCTTTCAAACTTTCCAAATTTCTTTGATTTGCTCCAGTCCTTTTTATTTTCTCCCCCAGTCTCTCTCTACCAGGATTTCTTTTTCCCTTTGTGGAGCTCAGGATTGAACCCAGGGCCTTGTGTATCCCAATCAAACACTATACTATTAGGTATGTCCCCAGTCTGCTTTATGGAATTATTTAAAAGTATAGATTGAACTTCCTGAATGGATTATCACTTCCTGTGTTCCAACTATCTATCTTTTGTTTTTCTAATGTTTAATTATTGTGGGAGGTATACACTACAGAGCAGAACTTGTAGATGTCCCTTCTGGGAATTGAACTCATGAATTCAGACTAGTCAACAAGCACCTTCATCTGATGCGTCTTCTCACCACTCACTCGTTTTTTCTCTTTGTCCCAGAAATGGTCTTAGCACGTGTCTCAGGCTGCTCTTGCACTCCTGATCCTCCTACCTCAGTGTCCTGAATGCAAAGATTATAACATGAAACACCATGCTTGTTCATGTTCTAATTTAATGATTTTTTTTCCTGTTGCAGTGCAATCGCAACCAATGTCTGACATAGCTCTCCATGAGCCTTCTCTTTTAGTGTGCAATCCATCCTCAAATTCTAGGAAAACTGGTTTGTGTGACCAAGAGACTAAGATGAAAATAAAGGGTTTGGCTAACTCTACTGCTCCTGACTTGGTTTCCCCTGGATCACTTACTTCAAAAAGAATCAATAGAGAAGGGCCTCAATTTTTGATCCACAGAACTGTAAAAAAATTAATATTTTTGTCTTATGCGATCAAGGTTTTGGTTTTTTGTGTTTGTCTGTCTTTGGGATCTCATCATCTAGCCCTGGCTGGCCTGGAACTTGCTAATCTTAAACTCACAGATACCCACCTGCCTCTCCCTCCCAGGAAATGGGATTAAGGATACATAGCCAGTAAATTTTAAGGTGATTAATTATATAGCAATAAGTAAGGAATGCATGCCAACATATTTTCAATTCTCACGGGCTCTTATTCTCTAGAAGTCCTATTGATATTCTATCCTTAAGACAAAACACTAAGGAATCAACACACAAAATCAAAAATAAGGAAAAATGGTTGATTTTTACATCAATCATTGATAAAATTTCCTCCATAAGAAATTTCATCAGAGGCTAGAGCTCTGCCTCAACAGTTAACAAGGACTTGCTGCTCTTGCAGATAGTCCAACTTAGGTCTCACTATCAAAACTGGTGGCTCAAACTAACTCCAATTGTAAAGGCCCTGATGTACTTTTCTGGAATCACTGGAAACTAGGTACACACATGGTGAACATATGTACTTGCAAGCAAAACACTTACGTACATTAAGAATTTGTTTTTTGTTTTTTGTTTTACTTTTTCTGAGACAGGTTTCTCTGTGAAGTCCCAACCCTGGAATTCACTTTGTAGACCACACTGGCATGGAACTCACAAAGATTAAAATTAAAGGCATGTGCCACCATGTCCCTGCTAAGAAAATCATTTGGGGGGGGGAGATGGTGGTTAAGACAAGGTTTCTCTGTGTACCAGCTCTGGCTGTCCTGGAACCTGCTCTGTAGATCAGGCTAGCCTTGAACTCAGAGATCCACCTGCCTCTGCCTCCCAAGTGCTGGGATTAAAGGAGTGCACCAACACCACCCCACAGAAAATACTTTTAAAACCGATTATGTAGCAGAATTGAAGGATTATGCTACTGTTTTATTTTCTACACATTTCCTGTTTTGTTTGTTTTTGTTTTTGTGTTTGTTTTCAACAGGGTCTCACTTTGTAGCCTTGCCTGGCCTGGAACTCACTATGGAGACCAAAATGGCTTGAACTCACCTGCCTCCCCTTAGGGAGTGCTGCGATTAAAGACTTGTGCCACCAAGCCTGGCTTCTGTAAAACACTGATGACTCCTGCAATAGGTAATGATTTTAAAGGTCGAAATATGTTACTGATGAGACTTAAGCCATTAAGTGATCATCAGTTTCACAAAACAATTCTACAGAGAGGAAGACTTCTCCCAGGTGATCATTTGGAAATGTTTGGGGGTATTTTCCCTGGCATCTAGGAGAATAGAAGTACTGAGTATCTCATGGAGAGGGGTTGCATACACAGCCTGACACTCCACAATAAAGAGGGCATCCCCTTGCAACAAAGAAATCCTGTCCAGAGGTTTGGGGTATAGCTTAGTGGCAGAGCCTTAGATTCAATCACCAATTCAACCGAGAGAGAGAGAGAGAGAGAGAGAGAGAGAGAGAGAGAGAGAGAGAGAGAGAGAGAGAGAGAGAGGGGGGGGGGGGGAGAAAAAAAGGAAAGAAAAAAAATTCACAAAGCACCGCTAATGACAAGAATGAGAAACCCTAGTTCAGCACAGATGAAAGAAGACAGAATACCATAAGATATAAATATATCAATATTTTGGACAGTGATTGAAATACTGAGACAATATACTGAGACAATAGCAATAAATAAACAGCTTCTGCACAACCACTCACCCCCTTCTCTCTGCTGTCTTAGTATTCTGTTGACAATTATTATTGCTTTGGAAAAGACATGTATAATAATTGTGAATGGTCTTTAATTTTCCTAATGGTTTGGTCCTCTATCCTTTTTCTCAGCTTTGCAGCAGTCCCATCCCATGATTAGCTCCAGTACTCTCAAGGTGAGTCCTATTTTTGGCTCTCATCCCTTGGCACACATGCATTGATTAAAATGTCATGCTTAAAGTTCAGGATGGGAATAGTTCCCGGGAGCCATAAACTCTGGTCCAGTTTCCTTTGTGTTGCTGTGATAAAAGATTCTGACAGAAAGCAACTTAGAGGACTAAAGGATCTGCTGGACTTAAACTTGCAGGTCAGAGTTCATCCCTGACAGAAATGAGGGTGGGCACTCATCATGGCAGGAGATTGAAACAGGAACCATAAAGGACTGCTGACTGCAGCTCTCTCACACGTTAGCTATCTTTCACTACAGGACCTCCAGCCTAGGAATGGTGCCACCCACAGTGGGCTAGACCTTCCTATATCAACTAACAATCGAGACAATCGACAACAGGCCAATTTGATCTGGGCAATTTCTCAATGCAGACAACCCTAGGCTTTGTCAAGTTGATGTTTAAAGTTAACTAAGGGAACATCTAAATCTGAAAAAGTTTCAGGAATGGAAAGCACATGTTCACCAAGTTACATTTGATGCAGACGAATCTCGTATTTCTGTTCCTTCACTCTCAGACACATGTTTTATACCTGTTAAGGACACAAGAATCATTTAAAGCTATTGAATTAGTTTGGGGGAGAAAAGTTTTTGTTTTTTTAAATTTATTATTATTTTGTGTGTGTGTATTTTTGCCTGTATGTATGCATGTGCACCATGTGCATGCCTGGTGTCCATGGAAGCCAAAAAGTGACATCGATCTCCTGCTTCAAGCTGCCATGTGAGTTTTAGGAACTAAACCTGGGTCTACTGCAAGAACAGCCAGTGCTCTTAACCACTGAGCCATCTCTCCAGACTCACAATAGCTTATATATCTTAATATATAATAATTATATATAATATTTTATATATATATGTATATATATATATATGTACATTTAAAAGAAAATTATTTTTAAGGTAACTGTTTCCTAGACTCGAAAAAGAAATCCCAGACAGCTTCCCCCTTTGGTTCTATCTTCGCTTTAATGGAGTAACATTTGAAATTCAACAGATATATAGAAAAACACCAAACATTGTGAGGGGTTGAGACCACACTATGTGTTGCTTGAGGTGTTATGTACAACCCACAACATTTTTAGATAAACAACATTCACTGCTGCTCCATCACATCTGATGGCCATGGCCCAACAGAAGTCATCACTGTAAATCATGTCACATAGCCACTGTAGGAGGTCACTGTTTCATTTTATTTTATTTTTAATCATAAAAAGGAGTATTTCCGTAATTCACAATGTGAGAGAGTTCCTGAACACTGTAGGTATGAAATATTGTTCATTAACTTTCTCTTCAAATTGAATTTTTAAAAAACAGCATGACTTTTAAAAGTTGTAGTAAAATGATGGGGGTGTGAGTTAATTTCATCATGTTGATCCAACATGCATATAAGTGCAGATATTCTCTAGAACAATAACAGCATTAAAGTGTAATTCCTTAAGAATTCATGAGGAAAGGGTAACAGGATTTAAGAGTCTTTTCCAGGCATTTAAAATTTTCTATAAAACTCTTTATCCCAAGACTCACCATCTAAGTGTGGTACACAAAGTATACTGAATACATTGTTCTGTGTTGAGATGGGGAAACAGAAATGACCATTTTCATATAATAAAATCTTCTGGTTGCTCTTGGTTGTTCTCGTGGAGCATCCTCTCAAAAGGCCTATAGTTGAAGAAGACACCATCGCTTTCACCTGCTGGCTGGTATTCCCATTCCATGTCAACTAGGAAGCCACTTCCTGAGCCGGAGCCAGAACCTGAACCCTAGGCAGAGCCCAAGCCCGGGCCCGGGCCCGAGCCGGGGCCCGAGCCTGATCCCGAGCCCGAGCCCGAGCCGGATCCCGAGCCTGATCCCGAGCCCGAGCCCGAGCCCGAGCCCGAACCAGATCCCGAGCCCGAACCGGATCCTGAGCCCGAACCAGGACCCGAGCCCATGCCAGACCCTAAGCAGGAGCCTGAACCCGAATCCGAGGCGGACCCAGTGTTGGAGCCTGATCCAGAGTAGTCTTCAGAAATGGGAACGAAATCATTTGGACTCTTCTCACCCTAAAATACAAAAAAAGGAAAAAAATGTAAAGTTCTACTTATAAATAATGAAATTCCAATATTTAAATATACAGAAATAAGCTGTGCCTGGGATAACAAACGATTGCGGCTTTCAGCAGTGAAAGCCGTAGGATCACAAGTTTAAAGTCATCCTTGGATCCATTGTGAATGGCAGCCAGCATGGGTTATTTGAGCTCCCCCCCCCAAAAAAAAACCAAAATAAAAATGGGGCAGGGGTAGGGAGAATAGTGGGGAGTAGAAGGGGAATATGGGAATAAATTTAGGCACCCAGCTGTTCAAAGTTAAGAGAGAGAACCCTCTTCAGTGCTTCAAAACAAAAGGCCAGAGCAGAAGAGACAACTCAGTAGTTTTTTAAAAGCAATTGCTGTTCTTGCAGAGGATCTGGGTTTAGTTCCCAGCACCCGCATGGAGGCTCACAAGCACCTGCAACTCCAGTTTCAGAGAATCTGACACCTTCATCTGGCCTCCTCCATCACCAGGCATGCACATGATGCCTGCACATATATGCAGGCAAACACGCATACACATGAAATGAAAACAGATAAATCTTGGGCTCGAGAGATGGCTCAGGAGTTAAGAACACTGACTGCTCTTCAGAGGCCTTTGAGATCAATCCTCAGCAACCACAATGTGGCTCCCAACCATCTGTAAAGAGATCTGGTGCCTTCTCTGGCACAAAGGCCTACATGCAAGCAGAACACTGCAAACATGATAAATAAATCTTGCTGGGTAGTGGTGGTGCCTTTAATGCCAGCACTCCGGAGGCAGAGGCAGGTAGATCTCTGTGAATTTGAAGCCAGCCTGTCTACAGAGCATGTGCCCGTACAGCTAGAGCTGTTTCTGGATGAAAATAAACCTCAAAAAAAAAAAAAACCAACAAAACAAAAACAATAAACAAGCACATAAATAAGAATAGATGTCTTTAAAAGAAAATCTATTAATTCACTGCACTCATTGAATCTATATTTACCCAAAGCAGATACAGGTGAACAGCCTACACTGTTCACATCACTAACTACTAAAATCCTGTGGTTTTTCTTTTATTTTCTTTAGAACCAATTACTTAGGCTGGAGAGATGGCTCAGAGGTTAAGAGCATTGGCTGCTCATCCTGAGATCCTGAGTTCAATTCCCAGCAACCACATGGTGGCTCACAACCATCTATAATGATATCTGTTGCCTTCTTCTGGCATTCAGACATACATGCAGGCAGGACACTGCATATACAATAAATAAATAAATAAATAAATAAATCTTTAAAAAAGTACCATTTACTTTTAAAAACAATAAAACCTCCTTTGATATTTTCTCCTTAAAGGGCATACCATGAAATAATCCTAGACAGATGACTCTGTTTCTTAATTTAAGTTTCCACAGAACTTCTAATGAACTAACACAGTGCTAAAATGAAGATTAATGTTCCTTTTTGTTCATCTCAGATAGTTAGAATGTCATTTTGAAGGCCAAGTTCGTCTCAGGCTCTTGACTCTCTTGCCTCAGGCTCCTACATGCTACACTTACAGGTGTGTACATATTTGCTGCCTAGGTCAAGAAGTCTTTGTAAAAGTTTTGGGTTTTTTGTTTATTTTGTTTTGTTTGAGAAAGGTATCATTTGTATATCCCAGGCTGGCCTAGAACTCACAGAGCTCCATCTGCCTCTGCCTCCTGAGTACTAGGATTACAGGTGTGAGTCACCACACCTAGAAGAGGTTATTATTAGCCTTACCAGAACATAAACATTAAATTTTCTTTAATATAATATTTGGGTCTGTATTCTTGAGCTAAATGAGGAAGCTGCCAGGGCTGAGTTAAGTGGGTTGGTTAGACACACTTAACTCATCTAAAGATCACACAAAAACTACAGCAGAGAAATGGTGCCACCCAACCTTGGCAAGTCTGGACAGCAATCAGGAAAATGGTAGGGAATGCTGAGACAGGAAACGTGAAATGTCATCAAATGAACCCAGGAGGCTGCTTCAGCCCCACAGATCAGAGAGGGCTGGATGCAGACGTGGCAGCTACTGACATACAGATGGAACTGAAAGGTGTGAAACAGGCAGAGGTCGCCTTGAGGAAGCACGGAGGCTTGTGATAGAGCCAGGACACACCACATGTTTAAAATGAGCAAAAGAGAACTTAGCTACCAAAACCCAACAGCCTGGAGCAGGTTGATGGTAGAAGCCCACAGAAAGGGGCTTTGAAGGGAAGTGGAGAGTCAATCATTTTAAAAGGCAGTGAAGTGGTCAAGCAACCTGAAGATAGAGACACAATCAATAGATGTGCCTCAGTAACCAAACACTCTGGATCGAGGAAAGAAGCAGGAGTCCAAGTGTATGTGTTGGGGGAGGGGGCAAGCATAAGCACCCCTCATAGGATAAAGGTGCAAACCTTTAATCGCAGCACTCAGAGGCAGAGGAGGGTAGACCTCGAGGCCAGCCTGGTCTAAGGAGTGAGTTTTAGGCCAGACATTCCTAAATAGTGAATTGAGACCCTGTCTCAAAAAAAAAAAAAAAAAAAAAAAAACCGATATAATAAAGAGCAGTGTTGGGGGGTGGTCTGTCCAATGTCAGGAAGCCCTCGACTATGTCTACATACTGATGGAAGGAGATGCTAAACCCAGAGAGACACCTGCAGAATACAAGTCTGAGACTAGGTGGTGGGTATAGTGTACAGGAAAACTGAATATTTAACTGAAGGTGAGCTGCTTAAACATGGAGTAGTAGAGAAGTGGAGCCAACAACAGACAACAAAGGAACCAGAGTTGAAAATAGGCATCTTCCCACACTAGCCAGCAAGATGGTTCATCACATAAAGGTGCCTACCATCAAGCCTGATGACTTAAGTTCAATTCCCTAGACAAGAAGTCACTCCTATAAATTGTCCTCCAACCTCCACACATATCCGGAGGCATGTTCACAAAAGTAAACACACACACACAAACGAAAAAGAAACGTAGGCCACCCCTAAACTGTAGAAGATGACTTGAGTAAAGTCTTACTGTGGTAGCCCTGCCTGGGCTGAATTCATACCATCCTGCTGTAGTTTAATCATTTGGAAGGAATATGGAACCATGCCTAGCTGACTTTTGGTCCTTAAAGTATTTATTTATGTATCATTATTTTACCAGAACATGTTGAGTGATAAGCCAATCACAAAGTAAAATTGGATAAACACCGATGAAAGAAAAGATAAAGAAAGAAACACCGGTAATTTCAGTATTTAATAAGTATGTTTCAATTCAGCACAAACAAACAAAAAATCAGCCATAGGGCACTCACCTTTAATCCCAGCACTCAGAGGCAGAAAGAAGTAGGCTGATCTTTGTGAGTTCAAGTCCAACCTGATCTACATAGCAAGTTCAGAGCTAGCCAGAGCAACACAGTAAAATCCTGTCTCAAAAAAAAAAATTGCAACTAGATTTTAATATATAAGCACTATATTTGCATAATAGACTATATTCAATCACTTATAATATATGCTGGGGGAATAGTTCTCAAGTTCTCTTGCCACCCATAAGAAAAAAAAAAATGGATGAACCCACGTGTGTTGCCACATCTCACGCTTCATTCAGCTCATGTGGCACACTTTTCCCTACTGCGAAGTAGAAAACAGAGCTACCCGCAGCAGGAAGCTGAAAAGAAACAATCCACCACTTCTGTGAGATCAGACAAAAGTCCACTTACAAAATAAGACTGGCCATTGGAGAGTCGATGTTGTTGGATCCAACTGAGATTGGATCCATCTCTGCAGTTTGCAGAGATGCTATCAGGATGATTGCAGATTGCAGATTGCAGATTGCAGATTGCAGCGTACCCATTGGTACCTGGCTCTCCGAGCAGGATAACCTGTTCAAACAAGGAACCCATGTGGGCAGTAAGTCTCTCTCACATGGCCTCATCAGAATGACTACACTCTGGTTGGGCAGTGGTGGCAAGGGCCTTTTCATCCCAGGACTTTTGATGTAGAACCAAAGGGATCTCTGTGAGTTTGAGGCCAGCCTGATCTACAGAGGTAGTTCCAGAACAAGTAGGGCTGTTACACAAAGAAACCAAAAAAAAAAAAAAAAAAAGAGAGAGAGAGAAAGAGAGAAAGATTTATTACATTTTGTCTCTAAAAAAAGTTAGATAAATTCTTTCCTTTTTTAAAATTTTTTTTCAAGACAATAGTCTCTATGCAACCCTGGCTCATCTGCTAAAACTCACTCTGTAGACCAGGCTGGCCTCAAACACAGATCCTCCTGCCTCTGCCTCCCAAGTGCTAGGATTGAAGGCATTGGTATTGCACGCCTTTAATCCCAGCACTCGGGAGGCAGAGGCAGGCAGATCTCTGTGAGTTCAAGGCAAGCCTGGTCTCCAGATCGAGTGCCAGGATAGACTCCAAAGCTACACAGAGAAACCCTATCTCGAAAAACGCAGGAAAAAAAAAAGGGGGGGGGGCATGTGCCACCACGAGCTAGCTAATTTACATTTTATTTACTGATATGGGGGGAGGGGAGCATGTGTCACTAAAGACACCAGTGAAGGTCAAAGGACAATTCTACCACTCGGCTATCAGGGATTTAACTCAGGCCATCAGGCTTAGTGCCATTACCCACTGAGCCATCTTGAAGGACCCCATACAGAGATCACAGCTTCTTGCCACCTCTTTTGGATTTTTGGTTCTGTTTTGTATTTTCAGACAGCAACTCACACTGTAGCCATGGCTGGCCTGGAAATTCTACATAAACCAGGATGGCATGGACCCTGTGGAGATACTCCAGCCTCTGCCTCCATACTTTGCCTCAAATGTTTCGACTGCAGGTGCACCCACCTCAGCAAGTCATGAGATCCACGTGTTGTGAAGTACTTTAATGAGCTGAAGCTGGTGAGAAGTACCACTCCACCCTTGAGAGGCTCATCTTCTCCCCACCAAGGACAGGCTAACCAATACCAGTGCAGCTCATAATCATGCACCAAGGAGGAGCAAGCATGCTAGAACTCTTGCAAGGAGGGAAAGAAGCTTGACAGCCCAGGATGGAAGAGGAGGAGACGCTGGAGAGAAATGGCTGCCTTGGCACTTGTCACAGCATACGGGTCAAATGGTAATGAACGTTCTGGTAGGAAGTATTCACAGCATAGGAAACCCATGATTATGAAGGAGTTTGCTGGGAGTAGAGTTAGGTGATAGAATATGCTTAGTGTGCGCTGGTCCCCAGGTTCTCTCCAGCCCCCTACAGTATCTCCAGTTAGTTTCCTTTAATTGTCTGACTGTGTGAGCACGTGAATGTGTGTCCTCTATAAGAGCAACAGGTACTTTTAACTGATAAGCCATCTTCCCAGCTTGTGTCTTAAAATTTGTTTTAAAGGTTTATTTATTGTGCTGGAGGAATGGCTCAGAGGTTAAGAGCACTGACTACTCTTCCAGAGGTCCTGAGTTCAATTCCCAGCAACCTCATGGTGGCTCTCAACCATCTGTAATGAGATCTGGTGCCCTCTACTGGTGTGCAGATATTTATAGGAGCAGAATGTTGTATACATAATAAAATATTAAAAATATGTATTTATTATGTATACAGTGCCTGTATGTATGCCTGCAAGTCAGAAGATGACACCAGAACACTTTACAGATGGCTGTGGGTCCTGAGAATTAAACTCAGGACCTCTGGAAGAACAGTCAGTGCTCTTAAACTCTGAGCCATCTCTTCAGCCCCTTAAGCTTTAAGAAGTTAAAATGAGAACAAAGGGGAACAGAGAAAGCACCTTTGAACACACCCTTGTTTCAACAACATCAACAAGTATGGGGAGAGTAGGAAAAATATATACACAAAGCACTACGGTAGTGGAATTGGGCAGGTTTTGGTTTGGTTTGTTTTTTTCCCAGACAGGGTTTCTCTGTGTAACAGCTCTGGCTGCCCTGGAACTCACTCTGTAGATCAGGCTGGCCTCGAACTCACAGATCCACCTGCCTCTACCTCCCAACTGCTGGGATTAAAGGTGTGTGCCACCACCACCAGCAGAATCTGGCCAGTTTTAAACAGCAATTTCTAAATTGTTGTAAAGAATAACATTCCTGTATGATATAAGCATTTAAAAGATTCTAATATAGAGCTGGAGTGATGGCTAAGTCCTCATTGCTCTTGAGGAGATCCAGGTTTAGTTCCCAGAACCCACATGATGACTCCCACCCTGCATTAATTTTAGTGGCAGGGTGCCTGATGCTCTCATATAAACTCTGCAGGCATCAGGCATGCAAACTGTGTACAGGCTAACCACCACACACACACAATAACACACATATAAATTAAAAGGATATGAAATCATGTTTAAAAAGAAAAAGAAAAGGTAGGTTCAGCACCATGGTCACGACATTGATCCAATTCTGAGAGTAGATGGCGTAGTATGAGACCCAGTCACCACTTAGTAGAATTCTGGTTCTCGGTTAACTGTGTTTCAAATGTGAATAACACTACAGTAATGAGTTCCTGATTCAAATGAGATGAAAGTTTGTAAAGCCAGCCAACACAAGCCTTTGTAGAAGGCCCATGTTCAATGCATTTTAACACTTTTTTTTTCCCTCCTGATTTTTCTCTGAGGCATCTAGCTAGCTGTGACTTTGTATCTGGAGAGAGTAACAATGCAGACTGTTGTCCAGCAGAGGGCAATGTCTTCCCACCTCAGCTACCCAGACTAGTATCCCTAATAAATACAGTGCCAATTCCAGCTAAAGCTAAATGCTTCACACGTATTGCTTTTCTTTTTGGCTTCCTTTCTTCTCTAGCAGTCATATTTTTTTAAGTTAAAAATGTGTAAAAACTAAGTACATGGTGGTAGAGCATATTAAAATATCATCATTTAACAAAATCAAGATAAAAGTGAGGAGTAGAGTATTTTATACTGTTTTAAACCAACTCTTGTACAATGTGCAGATTTTGAACTCACATGTTAGTCTAGACTCAGCATATTTCAAGGGTTCTGTAGGTAGTCACAGGGAGCTGCTGGCTGCTACATGGGACAGGGCAGTTCCCTCTGCAAATGCTCATGCCCTACCATGCTGAGAAAAATATGATCTTGAGGAAGTTCTACTGAAAAACTAACTAGTTTTTACTTCCCTACAGGGTTGAGATCAAACCCAGGGCTCCAGGCATCCTCTGCCAAGTGCCCTACCTCTGAGATGCATCATCAGCCCATAAAACAAGAGGGCATCCCAGTCAACAACCACATCTTTCCATTATCAAACACAAAGCAAAAACCATTCTTTGGCAGAAAAACAGATCTCTGAAACAGAAAGCTCTCTCCGAGGATGCAGGGTATTTGGGAATCAGGAAAGTTTTCTAAAAGCTGACGATGATAGGTACACAGTCTGTGACCACACTAAAAACCACAGTCGTGTGAGTTGGGAGAGTGAACTGTGTAGTGTAGGAACTGAATCTTACCAGAACAGCAGCATTAGGATTAAGGGAAGCAATGGGAGGTAGCTCAGTTGGGAGAGTTATTGCCTAGCACCTGCTAAGCCCTGGCTCCTCTCCCCTGGCACTACACAGAACAGGTATGGTGCCATAGATCTGGAATCCTAGCACCTGGGAAGAGTGGAAAGATGGCCACAAGTTCAAGGCCAGTCTGGTCTACATAGCGGGTTCTAAGCCAGATATGTTAAGTGGTTTCTGTCTCAAGAAACAAACAAGCAGGGGTGATGGCTCAGTTAGCAAAGGGCTTGCTTTGCCAACACTAGGACTTGAGTTTTGTCCTAAGAACCTACAAACGTGAAGCCTGGTTGTACACACTTTTAATCCCAGCAATGAAGAGGTAGAAACAGGGAAATCCCTGGGGCTTCCTGGGCAGCCAGTCTAACCTGATTCCTGAGCTCCAGGGGGATGAAAGACCCCACCTCAAAGGAGTGGACAGAGACCCTGAGGATGACACTAAAGCTGTCACATGGTCTCCATGTGTATGTGCATGCTCACACAAATATGATGCTCCTTCGTGCTTATGCTCTCTCTCTCTCTCTCTCTCTCTCTCTCTCTCTCTCTCTCTGATTTAAATTGCTTATGCTCTCTCTCTCTCTCTCTCTCTCTCTCTCTCTCTCTTTCAGACACACACACACACACACACACACACACACACACACACACACCATTTCAGGAAAAATACTGGCAATTAATATACTGGTTCAAACTCTCAGGTCTTATAGCCCCGCATATGGGCTAATCCCTACCATCTCAGCACTTGAAAGATTGAGGCAACAGAATTGCCACACATTCAGGACCCATTTGAGATACACACACAGGAAATACTAGGCCAACAAGATCCCCATAGGAAGACCTTTTATTAAAAAAATAAAATTAAATAAAAAAACACAAACACTCAAAAAGAGAAGATGAAAAGAAAAGGAGTTGTGTCTTATTTAAAATCCCATTATTGAGCATTATCATCAGGCAAAATTATACCTGGATACCTAAAAATTAACAACTTTTTAGCCTCCTCCTAAGAAAATTTATTCACCAAGCCTGGAGAATGTAAAGAGAACTTAAGGGAAAGGAAAAACATAATCAAATATATATATATGAAAAATTCATATATTTTCATTAAGGGGGTGGGGTGGGAATGGAGCTCAGGGGATCCTAGGCTTCCACAATGTATTCACTGAGCCCACACACAATGAAACAGCAAATTCTCATACATACATGTGCGGCCATTTCAAGGTTTTAAAGATTTATAATTTTGTTTGTTTGGCCAACACCTTGAAAATAAAAATAAATTGCTCTTGAACACAACCAGAAAAACTAGTTACAAATATAACCAAAAAACAAAAGGTCTGTTTCAGTTTTCAAATTATAAGCAATGAAGCAAGGGTTCCCTAATACACAAATAATGCCTTGTTAGTTATTTATT